CAAGCCCTCTTCAGTGTAGTTTTGTCACACTAACAGCTGTGATACAATTAAAACCTGCATGTAAGAACTTACATTTTTTGAAGTCTTCTAAAAAATTTAACTGGAACCCACATATAAGATTAGAACCTGCTTGAATTTGCTTGGCTAAACAGGTTCTTATAATTATTTTTGGGTATTAAAGAGAAAATTTCTGCAAGCAGGTTTTTAAACCACTGGGTTCTTACATGCAGGTTTTTACTGTATTTTGAATTTTTTTTTTTACTGATAGGGAATAATGTTAAGTGTAATTTGTTATAGGCATTACAAGGCAGTGAGGTAGTGGAGCTTGATCCTACTCACAATGCAATGAGGAAAAAGGAGAACCCTGTATTGTGGGTTATTCCAGCTGACCAGCCATTCACTGGTAAGAAGCGAGGGTCAATGATAAATTCTTTACTTTGTACTTTTTAATTTGAAATTTTGAACCATACATATTGTGACATCTGGAGGAGCATGATGTTTTAAGACTGAGTCGAGTAGCAAAATGTTTCTTTCCTTCCATTTTTTGTCCGTTGGATGTAAGATTTTTTTTTTTTGTTTTCTTTGCAGTTGAGAATACTGCTGCTCACATATATGAGACCACCCCTCAAGTGAAACAGCATCAAGTACAGGGTATGAACACAGACTTTTGACTTATACATCACTTACGTCTCTGCCAGATGCCCAGTCTTGCTGTTTGGGAAATAGTTAATATTATTATTAAATAGTAAATAGTAATGTCAATAGGCCTTTGTGAGAAGCAGTTCCAGTTAAGAAGACTGTTTGTTAATTAAAAAAGACTGTGTGGCATCTGTAATACTGTACTTAAAAAGCTCAGTTTGGAAAAGATGCACTAGATGTAGTTTGGTCTAAATATAGGTGTATGTTGTAGGTAAAATCTGTTTTCAGGTTAAACCAGAATTTCCTTTGTATGCTAATATTGATTAGGGCTAGGAAACAAAGGATATTTTGAATCAAACCAGGTTGAATACTGGTTAAACCTGAGAATTAATTTTACTCTACAATATGCACACTTTATTTGAGTGTCACGTACATAGAGGATATTACATGGCCACCGGAGATTGCATTCACTCGTGAAATATTTTTCAACACTCGAAGAGAAATTTCGTATCTCCAAGCCACCATGTAATGTTATATTTATTACATAAACACCAATGAAATACAAAACCATTTAACTTTGATAGTTTTTTGGTGTGAAAGGCATGATTTATTATGACGCCATAGCAACAGTGATATTTTCACATGTGAAGATAACATGTTATTGTCACATGTGAAGATATCAAGTTTTTGCACGAAAGCTCACCTGGTATTTCATTGGTGTTTATATAGTAAGTATTTATATTGAAGGGTAATTAGATTCATTATTTTACAACTCTATACTCCTTATTGATTGATCATGTTATCTTTTTCATCAGAAACAGAAGTATCATCTAATGCTGAACCAGCAAAGCCAGCAAACGTAATCAATGATTTGGTGAATCCTGGTGAATTGATAAAACAGGCACAGAAGGAATCCGTGTTAAATAACACTTTCAATAATAAGGCTGAAGAAGCAAAAGGTATGAATTGCTCCTGAACATATCCTACCAGAGTAAGTGTTTCACACTTGATCTATAATTACGTGATTATCATTCTAGTACACTTCATATGACCCTAGCTGACCAGGTTAGGTGGGTGTTTTGTTTGTATTAGAAATGTCAGCCTACTTAAAAACTTGAATTTTTTTCCCTTGAGTTCTGAAAGTTCTCATACATTACTTATTCATCATCCAGAAATCGCTTCTGATAATTAACCCATTTACTCCAAAAGTGACCAACATAAAATTTAAGAAAATCTAAATTTCTTACTGTAAAATCGTAAGAAGCAAATACTTCTATACGAAAAGTGCCCCTAAGGGGTTTCAGTATTGAGTGCTAACACAAGAGGATTTTGTCCACAGATTCAAAAGTTAGACCATGTAAGCATGGTTTAAGCATGAAAGGATCAAGTGGCTAAATACTTGGTTATTATACTGAACTTACCCTTTTACAAATGTCCAAAAGAAGGATAGTCACAAAGTTGGAAAATCCTCATTCTCGGAAACCAGGAAAATTGCAGCCCAATTTTCCAAGAACTTGTTTTATTCGGGCTTGCCTGCGTACTTCTTATTCAACTAGGCAGAGCTGACACTAAGGGCCAGCAGAGGCCAGGGATTTGCCCCAGCTTTTATGAGCAGGATTCCTGGCTACTGACTTAAAAAATTGAAAACAGTACCAAAGGAATTTCGCAGCTGTTCAGCTTACTGCCCACTAATTGCATATATTGGGCAATTTGAAATCTTAGGGAAAGCCCTGCTCGCAGCGCTTTCACTAGTTCGATTTTAGTGTACTCGAGGAAGACTCTGCATGAATGGAGTAAGATCTGTTGAACATTTGCAGCGTGTTGCTAGGATATACATGTACTTTAGAACCCAGGCCTAATAACTGTCTGCTTGCTACAGTGGGCTCAGTTATGACCAGGGATTTAGATCAATAAACGGATGCTGGTACTCAAAAAAAACAATTTGATGAGAGAGAACAAGATTGACTAGTCGTGAAGTTTGGGCTGAGGCGACCTCAAAGGGTTGACATGATTCATGCAGAGCCTCCTTTTCTGGTCCTCGCTCAAGAAGGAAAAAGGAGGAGGCTCTGCTCCGTGCAGGGTGAGCCCTGCCTGCCACGCTGTCAGGCCAGTTTCTTTCTCCCAAAAATTGAAATTTGAAAAATTTGTAGGTGCAAAAAAGCCAGATGTTGACTCATGGACAGAAGTAAAAAGAAGAAAACCATCTTCTACAAAAACAGATGCCAGTAATAAGGTAAGCATGTGAGAACAAGTACATTGTCTTGAGCAAGGAGTAATGTCTCTCCCTTGCTGCAGAATCAAGTCAAGGTAAAAGTTGTTGTGGAACCGAGAGTGATGGAAAAAAATGAAGTGGCCTGAACTGGTGTGTGTTCTCATAGACTCAATTCCATCACACAAAAGTTATGCCAAACAGGTCTAATATGAAGATTTTTTTGATAGGATATCAACAGCACCTTCGTGCAGAAACCATCTTCAGGGGCGGATCCAGGATTTTTTTTAGGAGGGGGTGCACTCGTCTCTTGCTCTACTTCAACACCAATAAACCACACAGTTTTTTTTTTGCAGAATACCAGTTGTATTAGAAAACCGCAGGTCATTTCAGGGGGGGGGGGGGTGCCCACCCCCCCCCCCCTTCCCCTAAATCCCCCCCTGTTCTTTAATCAAAATTACATTTTTTTTTTAAAAAAAAAAAAAAAAAAATTTTAAAAAACTTTTAATATTTTAAATTGTGAGGTTAAAAAAAAAAAAAAAAAAAAACAAATGCAACAAATTCACGAGCAGGACGGACGAGAACTACCCTGCTGCCCGGAACNTTTTTTTGATCAAAGAAAACACACCCCTTCGGGAAGAAATCCTTCTCGGGGGGCGATCCTGGGTTTTTTTTACGGGGGGGGTAACTCTTCCTTTTCTTTACTTTAACACCAAAAAACCCCCCTGTTTTTTTTTTTCCAAAAACCCATTTTATTAAAAAACCCCAGGGTCATTTAAGGGGGGGGGGGGTGCACACCCCCCGCACCCTTCCCCTAGATCCGCCCCTGATCTTGAATCAAAATTACATTTTTTTATGATAAAATAAGAATAACATATTGTAATACATCTGTAATAGTTGAAATGTTGAGTGTACAAAGAATGAAAAGACAATGCAACTGCATCAACTTGGACGAAAGCTTTTTAATTCAAGCGTATGCAATGAAACTGTTTTTGTCAGGGTTTAACATCATCTTGAAAACCCTCAAGAAAACTCTTGAATTTAAGGAGTCAAATATACTTGAAGTACTTGAAAAGTAAAGTACTTTAAATTGGTTTTGGTCCATGAAAAACCTTTTTTTAACCAAAGCACATGTACACTATCAAAGTTTTAAAGTAGAGTGCAAAATAATGCAAACAGGGGAAATGCTTACAAAATTAGAGTAATGAAGTCTATAAACAAAGTGTTTAAGAATGATTAGTTAGTGCACATGTGTAATTTTTATGTTAACTAATATTATTGCACTGCTATTATTTTTTACCTTTTCTGTAATTGACACACTTTCTTAGCTTTTGCCCAAGGCACTGTATGTTCTTCTTTTTCTAGGTATTAAATTATATTCATTATAAAAAAGTGGTTCATTTCAATGATGGGTTCAGAAAAGTCTTTGAATGGCCCTTGAATTTTTGGCCTGCAAAACTGTACGAACCCAGTCTTGTATCTTGGTTCCTGAGGGAGGAAATGGTCAATTAGTGATTGATTCTCAATTCAATGTTTATATTTTATTAGGCAAGTGGCTTCTCAAATGATCAGGAAGAACTTGATTTCAAGTTTGACGAGGAACTAGAAAACCAAGGAAAACAACCAACAATATGTTCCTCAGATTGGTATGTTTTGTAACATGTTTTGGCTTATGTTTTTAACCTTGGAACATTACAGCTCAAAGATATATATACTGAATACAAACTGTACACATATTTTTGGGTATGTGCACATAGATATACTGTTACTGTCTAATAATGGATAGGTCAAAATCATTAAGTTACAGTGAAGGTTGTTAATAAGTAAGTTTCTGTAAGAATTTTTTTTAACAGACTGTCTATATGAACATAGGCAAAGACTGCCACACTTCAAATTTAAGTTTGGTTTTGTTCCTGTGATGGCTACATGCAACATTAAGGTGCATGCAGTATTGCAGTCAGGCTTCTAAATGCCCATGAAAAAGATTCAAACCATTTTTTTTTCATTTCTATTCTGGATAGAAGCAAAATATACTAAAATGTGTGCTAAATTGTAGGGATGATGATTCAGATGATGAAATTGATGACCAGGATATACATAAAATCATGATTGTCACTCAAACTCCACCTCCCATCAAAAAACATGACCGAACAGGAAACTATGTCACCAGAGTTAAAATGACCCAGGAACTTTCCAAAGCAATAAATGATGGACTTTACTACTATGAACAGGTATGGAAAAAGCTGTTTTTTTTTTCTAAATGGTAATTGAGTGGTTATGTTTCTCACAAGAGATGCAACAGAAATTTTAGTAGGTGTCAGTTGTGACTTGCCTGTTGAGGGTACCAAGGTGAAAGTGGTGGCTTTAACTCAGTGTGATAACAGTCAACTTTTATGGTGTGATACGCTTTCTTTATGCAAATTCTACTGTTTCCATTTCCTACTGTCTCTTCTCAGACTAGTCAAAGTGTTTAACATCTGTAGGCGTGATTTTTGTGATCTTATGGTTTGTGGCTCTGGAGTGTGCAAGGTTTTATTTTTTATTTTTTTTAAGGATCTTTGGGATGATAGTGATGACAGTTATCTCAACAGAAAGGTAAGTAAAAACACTACATCTTTGGTTAGGTATTGACTTGCTCTTTGTTTTAAAGATATTGAATACCATTGTGTTCTTTGTTGTTTACAGATTGTTCTTTCATCGTCATGGAAACGTGTTGAGCTCGTCAGTCAGGACAAATTTAATTACCAGCGTGATGCCCTTGACCCACCCAGGGCTCGTTCTTTCACAGAAGCTGAATTCCCTCCCCCCAGTCCTCCCATCACAGTTCCCCACACCACGTTATCACCATCAGCAGAAGTATTCCGTCCGCGAGCTCACACAGCACCATCAGAACAGTTGTCTAGATCTCTCCCCGCCACAGTCCCTGAACTTCCTACCACTCTTGAGCATGTGACACCTCGCTATGGCTCACGCACTCCGAAGCGAAAAGATGTCAAAGTTGCACCAAGATTCTTCCCTGCATTCAGTAAAGAGAATGTCAGTGATCAAGGTCCGAAGAAAAGAAAAACAAAGTACAGTCAGAACCCCCCAGTGGAACATCATGNACAGCACCATCAGAACAGTTGTCTAGATCTCTCCCCGCCACAGTCCCTGAACTTCCTACCACTCTTGAGCATGTGACACCTCGCTATGGCTCACGCACTCCGAAGCGAAAAGATGTCAAAGTTGCACCAAGATTCTTCCCTGCATTCAGTAAAGAGAATGTCAGTGATCAAGGTCCGAAGAAAAGAAAAACAAAGTACAGTCAGAACCCCCCAGTGGAACATCATGTTGGTTGGGTTATGGGTAACAGAGAGTACCCTCCACCCAGAAGGTACATGATGCCGTAAAAAAGCTCTAATCCTTGTTTTTTTTTCTTAAATTGCTAGTAGTAGTAAAATAGCTTTAATCTTAATGTCCTTTTTGTGTGAATGGCAGTCAAACTTTGTACCCTTAGGGCGATATCCATTTTTGTTAGAACTTGCCAGCCAGACCAGCCCAGTTGTTAAGAGACTTCCATTATTAATCACTGCTATTTATGCTAGGCAGTGGTGCCTTTAAGGGAGCATTTCAAGAAAAGACTGAAATTATTTTTTTTCAAAATGACCAGTCTGGCTGGCCTTTTCTGACTTTTGGTTTCCGTCCTTAGCCTTGACTTATTTGCCATGCCAATAAAATTTTATTCGTAGTGTTGTTCTAATGCTTGGGTTCACAAATAAGACCTTAGATGTGACGTTTCAAATGAAGTCAAAACCTCTTCAGGTTTTTTTTGTAGTCAATAAAGTGCATTGCAGTGATTATGTTCAGTCACATGCACATTTTGTGAACTTCAAAGAAAAAGATTGTGCGTGACCAAGAAGCTCTCAACATTAACTTTTGTAGAGTAGTTTTCACCTTTGATTTTTGGCATCTTTTATAACCAGTTTTCTCTACTGAATATGGTGTATTAATTTGAAGACAGTGTTACAACTTTTTCCTTATGATGTATTTACACTTGTTGTTGTTCTCTGGTTTTCTATTATTGCATTTGATTCCTTGCATCTGCCAACATTAATTTGTTATATTAACGTACTATGCTTTTTCTTGTAGTCCAAGTTATAGTATCTCTGAGGGTGTACCACCCGGGGTGCATGTTGGTAGTTATGGTTCAACGCCGCAACCAATCCCACGTTTCCAGCATCCCTCTCATGAACTTCTTCAGGAAAACGGTTTTACTCAGCAGCTGTACCATAAATATCACTCCAAGTGTCTAAAAGGTATCTCTAAAACTCCTTTTACACGTACTAAAAAATCAGCACAGCACCCCAAATTTTTGGCACCGTGCGTTGTTTACTGATGCCAAGACTACCTCCTGGAGGTAGTCTCAGCACCCCTAAAATTTTGAGCACTGTTGCCACATTACATTTGGGACCAATGCATTTACACGCCAAAAATTGGGAGTGCCGTGCCTTAAAATCGTCAGCACGGTACCAAAAATTTGGTGTGCCGTGCCGATTTTTTAGCGCGTGTAAATGGCGTTTAAGTAAATAGCATTTTAATAGTGCTATATGTATGTATGAGTAATGAGTTATATAAAGAAAAAAATGATAATGGATTGTTTTGTGAAAGGGAACTCACCAAAACAAAGAAGTCACTTTTTTCAATTTTTAGGGCTAGAAACCTGAATACTTGTATGGTTAAAACCATATTAATGTTGGTTCTTTTTCATTTTTAATGTTTTGGTTTAGAAACCTTAATTCCTGTGCTGTATATAATGATTTATTTTGTTTCCTACAGAGAGAAAGAAGGTAGGAATTGGCCAATCACAGGAGATGAACACAATGTTTAGATTCTGGTCATTCTTTCTCCGGTCCCACTTTAATAGGTAAGTTCATTTTGTTGCAGAAAGACTTTTTAAAAGAAAGATACAAACTGTCTTAAAAGAACTTGAAATTTGAAGTTAGATTATTTTATAATGCTATGAGGAGCTAGTGCTGAAATGTTAATTTTTGCACATGTAGCACATCAACTCAAGTGACAGCCTGTGTAGCTGGTGGTTTTGTTGTGGAAAGGTGCGAGTGAATGGCAAGAAGAATGGGGTGGCTGGCACTGCTCACTGTTTTGGCTTTGATTTTGTAGCCTTGCTGCATTTTCTACACCCCTCTTTAACAAAACCACCAGTTATACTGGCTGCTGGTGAAGCCAAATTTTCGTAATTTACTGCTGCTCAGCCCCCTGCCTTTGAAGTGGTGCAGCATGATATTTCCGTGTCAAACTCATCACCAATAGATGAGAGCTTGGCAATGCTCTAGCATAAGGAAGGAGGTGTTCATGGCAACCCTGCGAGTGGCCCCCACCAGACACTGTCACACTGAACTGTTCAGTGGAATACTTACCAACCAATACTTACCTTGCCCTAAACTAAAGAGAGTAGGAGAGTAGGGAAAAAAAACAGCACCAAAATGGCAATCAAGCAACAAGAATTTAGTGAAGACACTTTGCGAAGAACTGTAAGGAAGCAAGGTGCCCCTGCTAAAGGCGTTTGGTCACCCCTAGCATAGTTGGGAAAACTGTTGACCAGCATTGCTTTGAGGTTAACTTTGCCTAAATTGCAGTTAGCCTCATGTAATCTAACCCCTTAGTGTTTTTGGTAGCGATCTGGTAGCTGAAAACTTTGTATCAAGTTTCAGTACACCCTTTTTCTTTTCCACTAAGCAGAATTTTATTGTCACGTTGTGTTCTGCCTTGGTTTGAGATTGCCTGGCGTCCCATTCCCTGAAGAATTGAATTGATGGTGGAGGACATTAGTGTCTCAATTACCAGCACCCACTGATTACGTGGTTTTAATTGAGTTTGTATTTGAAGAATCTAATAGCGACTTTGTTGTTGTTTATTTTTTCTTCTTGCCAGGAAAATGTACGAAGAGTTTAAAACATTAGCAGTAGAAGATGCTCTGGCTGGTTACAGGTTAGACCTATCCAATTTTTCCGGACTTTAAAGCTAAACATGCTTTGAAAATTCATTTAATAATGTTAATACTAAAACTAATATTCTTTTCTATTCCCAGGTATGGCCTAGAATGTCTCTTCAGGTTCTACAGTTATGGTCTTGAAAAGAAGTTTAAAGCTGACCTATTCAAGGACTTCCAGGCTGAGACTATCCGTGATCATGACTTAGGTACGTTGGGTGCTATGTGTTTAAGTGGTTATCACAGTTGTTTGCGATCAAACCATCAATGACACCTTGATATCAGCTGGTTCATTTCATTGGCTGAAGAGTGTGTTCACTTTTGACCATTGTATAGAGTTTCAAGAGATTTTGATGAGTTTGACTATGTACAGTACCGTTTGAAAGTAAGTTGACACTCGATTCTCAATCCTCGCAGCAAGAATTAAGAATTGAGTCGAGAACGCAATTCTCCATGGTTGAATCTCGATTCCAGATCTTCAGTTCCTGCGAGACTCATCAAACTGGAACGGTTTTTGTTGAGTTGCAAGAAATTGGCTTTCTACTCTTGATATTTGATAGCTGCACGAATCTACCGCCTTCATTCAAGTTTTGAGTAATCGTGTTACTTCTCTTAAGTTAGAAAAAAACTATCTATTCTATTAAATAACAAACTCTACTCAATTAAGAATTCCTGAGCTTTTTACAGAAGATTATTGACCAGATGTTATTATGGTTAAATAAATTATTTATTTTTGTATTTTGTTGCTGTTTCTTTCTCAGGTAATCTTTACGGTCTAGAGAAGTTCTGGGCATTCCTCAAATATTACAAAGTAAGTGATTTCTATAGTTTGTTTGTCATAAGTGCGTGTTTACGTTGAAGCCCTGCATTAAAATACTAAGTTATGGTGTAGTTCTTGTTGAGCTTGATCAATGCTTAACAATGCTTTGAAAGTCGCCTGTAGGTTTGATGGAACTTTCAATGTTACTCCAACACTGTGAAATAAGATCCCTGACACCTTTTTTACGAACTTCATTTGAAACAATGAAGTATTAAAAATTTAGTTTCAGTGTAATCATCGTGATGTAGGTGTCGTCTCATTCATCCCAATAAACGAGGCGATGGGAAGAAAATCTGGGGTTAATAGATGTTTGTTTGTCTTAAAACTTAAAATTTAGTTTTGTTTGTTTGTGTGTTTGCTTGTTTGTTTTAGGGGAAAACAAGGTTTGAAGTTGAACCAGACCTCAAGAAGCGGCTTGCTAAGTACAAGACGATTGATGACTTCAGGAATGATGTAAGTGAACAAAATATGAAAATCTTTGATCTCTCATTCAACAATGTTGCGTCCGTTTGCACGGGACTTCTGGGGAATTTGCTCCTTTGTCTTACATAAATTATGCATTCATAGAGCAATTTTCGTATGACCTTGAAATGAAAACGCGCGAACAAAACAGAAACAAGAAACGAACGGAAATAGAGCGATTTGATTGGTTTATCGAATGGATACAAACGCGCGTGGCTTTTGGTTGGTTAAGCGAACGCTCGGGTGAAAAAACTTCACGTCCGAGAACTTTCTAGAAATCAACCGATACTTTGCTTTGATGTCATACTGCAACACGATTGGCCAATCGAACAATGCCCTCTCCATATTAGGGTTTTCTTTGGCGGGAAAGCGAAGACTCCATGTTTTGATCTTTTTATCCATTGGCTGATAAAACAAATAACGAACACTTACAGCAGCCATTTTTCAAGGTCACAGGAAAATCGCTCTACTGCACGTGAATAAGACGAAATTTGAACGAAAAAGTTCTGTGGAGTATTATCACATGACCTACATTGGGAAAACAAAACATACAAGTAAACATAGCTAAAGAGGTTTATTATTAGAGTTCAGAATGATAAAGCAACTGTGATTGTCTTTATTTTTGTCGTAGCCTATGAATCAGTTTCCTGTCGACCCGCACAGTAACAAACCACGATCCAGACACAGCTCACACAGCGACAAACATGATCGTCATCCTCATGAGAAGGACGAACAAAAAGAAACGAAACCAGAGCATACTCAGGGGAAGGGTGAACAGAAAGAAAGCATCCAAGATAACCAGGGTGCAGCCAAGGATGATAGAAAGACAGGAAAAAGTGAACACCCAACTCCCGGCACAACAGCTGGCAAGGATGAACAGAAAGAAACTAAACATGACCATCCTCAGAACAAGGAGGAACAGAAAGGAACCAGACATTATAAAGGCAAGGAGGATCACAAGGGAACTAAGCATGAGCATCATTCTAAAGGCAAGCACGAGGAGCATAAGGCAAACAAGACCGATAAGAAGAGTTACAAGAGTGGTGAAAGCAGTAATGCAAGGAAAAAGAGCTCAGAACATAAGGAGGAAAAGGTTAGTACAGTAGCGGCAAAGGACAAAACTGTCGCTACAAGTGGGAAACAAAGCAAAACTAAACCAGCTGCAGAATCCACTTCTGACAAAGACACTTTGAATCAAGCTGTTTCCGTCACTGCTTCTTCTGTGTCCTTATCCCAGGAAAAAACAGAAGTCAACAACAGCTCAAGAGACAAACAGGATGCTGCTGAGGTTGCATCAGTTTCTGAAAAATCGAACACGTAAGAATTGGCAGCCGTCATGTGACGGTAACAGAACATTGGATTTTAGATATGATCAAAAACAAAAAATTTAAAATTGAAGAAAACCACCAAAAAAAATTTAAAAGATATCCAGCAGAACGTCAATGAAAAACCCTTTGCTGTCTTTTGAAAGTGGCATTGCATCTGGAAGGATAAGAAAACTTCTGCTGCCAACCGTGGCAAAACATTGTAATGCACTTGGAACGTCTCCTGCACTGTCTGTCGTCGGTCCACACCTCTGTAGAGTGTGATGGTAGTCTTGATCGCAGAACTGCGCTGTCAAAGCTTTGCAGTTATTCCACTAAGGATGCTCGTATAATTTGATCCAGAATACATCAGTATGACAAAAAAACAAAACAAAAACTCAACCGCAACGGTATATTTAACTGAAATTTGCACTGAAGGGTATCTCTAATATTGGTATCATCTATCATCAATCATCGCATTCCGCTTCACTTTTGTATTCATTGGTTATCAGCCGCTGTCATGGAGTAGCATCTAGGATCTGTTACCTTCAAAACGAGTTCAAATCATTTTGCCCGTCAAGTCTTGTTAGGCGTTCATCACTGGACGTCTCAGTTCACTAGACCACACATGTCGTGATTATTCCAGAAAGAATGGCCAGATGATGAGACTGAGGGAACACTTTAATGCTTATATCTTGAGTTGCATCAGTGGAAACGATATTCATACAGGACTTTCCTCAGTGTGCTCGTAAAGCTAGGATGGTATTAACTATTTTTATCAATAATATGGCGAGTTGATTTTAGAGCATTATTTTTTTTTGAGTTGGCCTCAGAGAGATTTATTGAAATTATATAGTGTGAAATTACACGTAATATCAATATTAGTCACTATGATGTTTTACTTCAACATAACGAAATCTTACAGGATATTTTAGTAATTCATGCTGATGTTGCCATAGTGATGGTTGCTGGGTAACATGCAAAACTGACAAATAATCCAAAGATTGCCCGAGCAAGATCTGGGTTTCATAGCAAGAATTTTGTGTGTTGAGACTATTAGAGACCTGTAGATTCAAGGGCGTGGACGACTACGAGTACGAGATTTGACTTTAAAGTTTTTTCGCGTATTCTCAAAATATAGACTCCCCGGAAAGCTTCATTTTACCATTTTCTCTAGAAAAGTTAGCACTGTTACCTTTAGTGACGGAGGTTACACCCTCTCCCGATCGCAAAGTGATAAAACTTCTAACATTTGAGAACTTGCTTCCGCCACTTGACATTCTCGCCAAAACTCGTAGTAGGGCAACGACGGCTACCACATTTTTCCGCCAAAATGGTGCTGGTTCACGCGTGAGCAATACTCAGTATTGAGAAAATCTCGAACTCGTAGTCTACTCGTCTCAGAATCTAAAGCTCTCTATTTGCAATCAAAGGCTGTTTTATTGTGATTGTAGTCACAATATGGTACCCTATTTATGTATTTGAGCGGTTGCTCTTGATCTAGGTGTACATAAAGATTGGTAACTTATAACTTAATGAAATCTCTTCCTCAAAAATTTGGGAGCTTAAGCAATCACCATGTACCCTGACAGCAGAGCTTTTCTTTTAGCGTAATCAGCCAAGACTCTTCATGAATCGAGTAAGGTCTTTGTTGAGCATGCGCTGCACGTTGCTAGGCTACATGTTCGAACCCAGGGCTAATCGCCTTGCGCTTGGTATATCGGGCTGCGTTGGGCTCAGTTATGTGCTTCCTTAAGGTGATCGAGGAGGAGTAAAGGTGATTTTACACGAGACGATTCGCAGCAACGATTTTTAGCGCAACACAGCGTTGCAACATTGTTGCGACATTGTTTCGAATAGTTACAACGTTGTTCTAACATTGCAACGCTGTTTTGCGCAAAAAATCGTAGTTGTGAATCGTCTCGTGTAACATCACCTTTACTCCTCCTCTAGCAAGAAGAAGTCAAAAAGAGGCTCTGGTGGCAGGGTGTCACGACGTCGACAGTAGTAAAACCGTCACTAAAAGATGAATTTGTACTTAATCGCGTTTGTTTGACCTCCCTTAGTATGTCAATTGATATAGGCAAATCAGTTTCCTGGAGGTAAATTCTTAAGGACTGTATCCAAGTTTAAAGGGAGAAAATAATCTTCTGCGTTGTGTCGTCATGTCCTCCATAAAACGTCGCATTAGGAAGTTTCACGTCGTCGCCTTTGAGTGTGATGTGTTACTTATGATTTATTGAAGTTCTCGTTGCCGCCTTTGTCCTGGTTTCTTACGCTCCCTACTAATTGACATTCAAGAACAAAATATCCGAGCTTTGGTGGCTCGCAGTTTATATATATATATTAATGTTATCAAACTTTGGGAGTACCGTAATATTTGTATAATAGGGTGAACCGTTATAAGTTGTATTTTAGGTGTGTCAACCCCCTGACCTCCACAAATGCACCGTGGGTTTTGGCTCGATAACCAGCCGCTGTTCGACAAATGCGTCCGCAGTCCTTTTCTTCAAGGCAATCGTTGACCAGCCATCGAAACGGTGCAACCCTGCCTTGGCGTACAGTACTGAGTATTGCATAAATGTGGCTATAGATAAGAAAGTTAAATATGGGTTGCTAATCAAGAGTATTAAACATGTAAGATTATTGAAGGACAGTTGAATTAGAAATAGTTTGTGAAAAAATGTATGGTTGGGAGAGTTATTGCCATTTTTCAAAAAATGCCTTGTGTTCATCCAGTCCACCAGCGTTGTTACGAATAACGTCGGTGAAAAGAACCTCTTGTGAGGGTCCCCAAAATGCTTAGAGGCTCGGGATTCGGGATTTTCAAGAAAATTCGGGGCGAGATCGAGATTGAAATTATGCGCGGGAGGTGGGATACCTAAAATAACCCTCGGGATTACGGGATTGCACGAAATTTCGGGTTGGGATTACGAGATTGAAGAACCCTATTGGGGACCCTCTCTTGTGACTAGTAGTGCGCTATCCACGTGGAAGTTAGCAGCACATCTTGTAAGTTTTTAATGGAAAGTGAACAAATCATCTGATGCTCATCTCGGAATACTTGGAAGGATCTACTGAACCCGGAACCGTCGCTCTCGTTTCGTTTTCGAGTGGACGGTATAGTAGATTCAGATACAGTCGTCTCCCGGTAACTCGAACCTCCCGCTAACTCGAAGCAATTTTCATTTCCCTTCATATCATTTTCTATATAATTTTACCCTCGATAACTCGAACTCCCGATAACTCGAACTGTTTTGTATTTCCCTTGAAGGTTCGAATTATCGGGAGTCGACTGTAGTTATGAAATAATTAACGAGGATATTTTGGAAAATGGTGGCATGCTCTCTCAGCAGTTGTAAGGGTGCGCTCAGGCACAAATGGTTACCAAATATGCAGTCATCTCTTGGGGTGTCATTTACACATTTAGCTCGTTCATTTAATTCACTGGTCTTCATTTTAAGGGTACCATTGTGTATTAGTGGTAGTTGTACAAAGTTAATGAACCAAAAAAAAATCAAATAAATTATTTTAAAACAACAAATAATAGTCTCTTAAATACAGTTAGCTAAGGTTTGTAAGAGGGTAAATCACCAAATCGTTGGATCGTTTTTGCCCGTTTAAGTTTTCATTTGTTTACTCAATGGTTAAACTTGCTGCAAGTCAACCTCATGAGTTCTTAGAGGTGAGTTAACCCTTTAAGCCCCAATATCCACATACAAATTCTCCAAACTGATCTCTATACATTTCCTTAAAGAATGTGTTGAGGGAATTTGATAAAAGATCAAAGCATTTTCTCTTAGGTGATCAATTTATTAATTTTTATAACCTAATCTCTGGACAATCTATGGATATGGTTAGGAGAAAATTGATGTTGGTCACCATTGGGACTTGAAGGGTTAAGCGAGCCTTACAATAAAGGACTTTTACAGGAGCCTATGACGATGATGATGGGCTGCTGACATTTACAGACTGGAGCAAAAGTCCTCTTTTCTCGTGGTCCCTTGGAACTCTCTCATACGTTCCGCTGCGCAAAGTGAGTGCAGGCGCAAAACCCGAAAGATTCTTACCAAACATTTTGCGCCCGCACTCACTCTCGCCATGCCATGTCCCTTTGAGCTTCTGCGGAGGATAGAGCGCTTGAAAGGTCATGGAATCGTATTTGCTAACTGAATCGTTTGTCTACGAGAAAACTCCGAACCATAATAGCAAAAAGAATAGGAGCCTTGGGGAAGAAACAAAACTTACCTCGCACACTCCGCTGATGTTTGGATGTTTCTTGGAGTTGCCGAAACTATTGTTGGTTTGCATTCTGGTGGTGTGGGTATAGTTCAGTCTTTTTTCAATCTTTTGAATTACGTCATTGAGTTATTGCAACTTCCGTGAGACCAGGAAACATGTTTTTTTTGCTTCTTTTCACCTTACACCCTCACCTCTCCCGCTTGGCTAACAGCAAATCTCGGATTCAGTATGGTCGAATGCCTTATTTAACCTCACAGAAGACCAGTTTACTTGCGACATTGTTTCGCAATCAAAGAGCATATAACAGTCGATCAATTAAGAACAACTGCAGTTAAATGGCTCTTTCTAAAGGGAAAAAGTTGTTCCTAGGAGGATACATAATTATACGAGTTATATATTCGTACTTTTCAGGGATTTTTAATAGGAGAATCAGAACAACCGATCATTTGGGGTAATATTGCACGCCAGTCAGTTGACCTGGGAAGACTTGCAACAGAAGCTGCAAAGATGCTTCATGGAAACACGCAGCGCCTTCTGGGTTAATAAACCAACAGCGTTTATTTTTCGACGGAAACGACCGACGCAAGCTATTCACCAGCAGCACCACTCTAAACCTCTTATGGCATCTGCACTACCTATTGTTTTCAGAGATAGCGGCATTGTTATGTCACCAGCACTATCGTTTTCCCAGCCAATCACAGACCTTGTTTGGAGTCGGTGCAGGTCGACCCGACGGAAGGTAATTTATAACTGGGCGTGCCTTATAGGAAGCCCCGTAGTAAGATTTTTCGTGGCCAGCTGAAGATGAGTATTAGTACCGACAATGGAAACAGTGGAAAGTTAATAGAGACCTTAAGATCGAGGTTTTTCGGTAGTTCCCGCAAACCGCAAACGTCATGAAATCACGTGACTAGTGCCTTGCCGTCAGATTTGCGGTTTGAGGTTAGAGCACGCTCCAGAGGGAAGTGATTTTCCGCAGGGATTTTTGCATCGTAAAACATCACAATCTCACGTTTGATAGGAGCTAAACTAGAAGTCAACAATGAATGAAAACAAATATAGACGCTGCTCTCTACCACCCGCGAACCTAAGATCCAAATATGGGCAGACGGCCAATGTGATACGGCTAACCGAAAACCGCCGTGTTCGGCGTAAGATGGCCAAACCTCGATCTTAAGGTCTCTAATAAGGTAAAGAACCCTGACAACACCGATTGCGGAAAATGGAGATTTTTATTTGGAGGAATTAACAAACTACATTTTTGCCCAAAATCACGGAAAGGATGCGATCAATTAAGAGCGACTTTCTGTAAATACCACGGATAGATGTGCAAGATGGAAAAATCGAAATCCCCCAAACTTTGTCACAACAAAGCCCTTTGGAAACTATTTTAGAAAATACAAGACTTAGTTCGTTTGACTTAATATTTTCCAAAATAATAATTTTTTTCAATTTTCACCTTCGAGAGGCCTTCAAACCACCGAAAAATGTGCTTGATACCCTCGCTTCGTGAATGGAAACGGAAACTAATACCATAACTTTTCTTACATTAAACAATTTTATGATCCTTCCTTTCTACCTAAACGTTGTTACAATTTCAAAAGATTTCAATCTGATTTTTTAATATTTTTTCAAAATTACCCTCTAAATCAGCATTATCGCAACCATCAATTTAGCCATTTTTCAACGGCGAAAATCCCTTCCTGGTACATGGCTTTCATTACAAAAATGGTATTCCAGAGAAAGAGCAATGTTTCCCCTATCAATCTGTGAAATAAAATTCTGGGGCAATTGAAACTGCGAGTTTTTACAACGGAAAACATTTACGGTACTCGCGTGATTTATGACCTCTGAACTTGCAGTTGTCGTGATGAATACAAGCGAGAACCTAGACAGCACTTGAAACTCTGACGCAAATTCGCCCCTTTTCCGCCAGTTTAAACACCAAAAACGATTTTTGATTTCACAGTGGTAGATTTTCAAAAGGAAAAGCAATTTTATTGTGCGAAAGTGTGCTATGAACTTCTTGACTACAAACACTTCCCTTACGTGCGTATTTGTTTACTTTTGCCGTACACATATGTACAAAATGGCTAATAGTGTCGGTAGCTATTCTTTCAAATGCTCTCATTTCTCATGAACCAAATCGTTATAGCTATAAAAAAAGGAAAACATTTTGACCTACCTCACATTATTTGACAACAGACCCGAATCCTTTACTGCCTTTAGCGAAACGAGATTGCGTGACAAAGAACTTTGAGACCCAGGTTATACCGCGCAGACAGATACCATTTCGAAAAAGAAACTCACGCGGCACCTTCTGTAGCTATAATAGCGAAACATGTAAAAAATCAAAATCCTTAGTTTCGTTGACTTATCTGCCAGAGCGACCCTGCAAACGTAACACTAAAAAAATATTTTTTCGTCAAAAGACTATATAGGGGTGGGCCCTTATACAGTGGAACCGCGATATAAAGAACCTACGAATGATTTTCTTTACCTCGATAATAGTAAAATATGCCGTAAAACCTATATTAAAGCTCCCTGTCAAATAACCCCCCTCCAAAAGATAACCCCCCCCCCACCTCTATCAAGCACCCGCTTCCCACCCGTAATTATTCTTCACTAATAAATGAAAGACTGTATTAATCAATCACGACCGTAAAGGCTTCGGGTGGACTGATCCGGGATGGTTTATTTACCAACTGGAAGTTCGGATTTGATTATGATTTTCGACTGCATGACCTTAAACCTCCTGTACTTGAGCTTTTCCACTTTGTATTCTAGTTCTTTATGGAGAAGCGATACCATCTTAGTTTCTAAATTAAACATATTAAGCCCCCCGTCTCTATTAAGCCCCTCCCCCTCAAATGAGCTTGAAATAATAAGCCCCCCGGGGGAGCTTACTAGAGGATTTACGGTATGAAAAAAAAACCTCGTTATAGCGAGCAAATTTCAGGGGCACTCAACGACTGTTTTCTGTAAAATATATCTTGGGAGAAGTAGATATTGCCTAGAATTTTCTATAGCTTGAGGACGCCTAAAAATTTCTATATGACCGTTCCGTTCCTGTTCAATTTTCGAAGGTTATCTTATAAATTCCCTACGATTTTCTGAAGTTTAATTTTTCACATTTTACATCCCAGGTTAGGCTAATTTTTCATAGAAAAGAGGAAGCCTAAAATATTCGGATTCAAACATGTGATTGAGACAGGAATCAGAAAAATTCTCACTTTCGTGATACGTTAAATTGCATCTAAAATTTTTGGGAAAATAATACTGAAGCCCTTGTAATTTCAAAAATGCTCAATGCAAGTTTCCCTAGGATGACCGAACAGGAACAAATTTTACAAGCCGCTTAGAATGCATTTCTAGAGATCTAAAAGTACTCTGGGTACACCATTGAAAAATGTTTTCAATGAATTTAGAAGGAAACCGTCGTTGGGTGGCTCAGAAATTTTTTTAGGCCCTTGGCCCTTCGTTAAATCGAGGTTCCACTGAAGTCTCTTGTTTTCATCACGCTCGTTTTAAAATACGATTATGAATTCCTTACTTGTATTCTTAGGAAAAAGCGCTAAGTCGTAGTCTAAAATGTCATCCGTCCCTTCCCTCCACCCCCTAAGGGGCCACAGCAGGTTTCGGGGTGGGGCGAAGGCACGCATAACATTTCAGACTAGACATGGCGGGGCTAAAAAACCTGCACAACCTTATAGCACCTCTTGTGTTTAAATTTTCTGTAGTTCTGGCAAACTCGAACAAGTTTTGCATTTCTGAGGAACGTTTTGCCAAAATATAGGTTATGGCACATGTCAAGCCAGAAAAAGTGAGCAGTTTGATAAAAAATGTCAAGTACGACTGAACAACGCCCGTAAAAGCACCCCTAATGACTCGGGCGGGAGGGGGAGGCTCGGTGGGGAGGGGAAACTCTGAAATTGAGCAAAGAGGACCTAGCTCTAAGCACACCGCCTGCTTTTTAGTTGTCCGTTTCCCTTGGGAATAAATTTTACCCACAGTGTCGAGCAACTCTTTAAAGGAGATTGCAAGCCCGTATATTTGGGCCCGTCAGGAACGCTCAGCGGTGAAACCAAAGATCGCGCCCACAAAAAACTTATTTTAACTTACTGAAAGCTGTTTTTTTTTTTACCTATTTAACTTATCGTTAGGAAAGAAGAAAAGGAATCTCATAATTAGCGTATGTATAAAACTATCAAGAAATCTCGAAATTCTGGGTCTTCTAAGAGAACAAATACTTTCGAAAAATTTAGGAGAAAGTCCGTGGACTGGAAATAACTCGCTATCAATTATCCGAAGATATCCGAATATCTCACTTTTCAAGCCCACGTTAACTCGCTTCATTTTTGAGGGGAGCCAACATTAGCCGCGCGACTGTTATTTTTTTGCGCCTGGGTATCTCACGTTATGCTTACGCGTATCCGCAAGTGTGTCTTACATCCTATGCTTACGTAAAGGTTATATACCTGGAACGATGGGGTATGTGATATATTCACCTGTTACCGCCCCGAGGGCTACGTGTGTAAGACTGTTCCTTTTCTGATTTTCAACAGCAATGCAAAAAACAATAGCTTTCAGTTAGTGCGAACGGCCTTTCCTTCTCTTTTATTTTCTTTTCCGTTTTTTCTCAAAAAACGCAGTTTTTTTTCAAGGTGCGAGGGGCGCGATCATTGGTTTCACCGCTCCAGCGTTCCAGACGGACGCAACTATACGGCTTGCAATCTTCTTTAAAGAGTTGCTCAAAAATATGAGCGAAATTTATCTCCAAGGCAGACTCACAGCTAAAGCGCAGACGGTATGGTTAGACCTAGGTCCCCTTCGCTCCATTTCAAAATTCCCCCCTCCCCCTGCCAGAATCATTAGGGACGCTTATACGGGCGCGGTTCAGTCGTACTTGACATTTTCTATCAAACTGCTCACTTTTTTCTGGCTTGACATAAGCCTATATTTTTCCCAAACGTTGCTCAGAAATGCAAAACTTGGTCGAGGTTGCCAGAACTACTGAAAGCTTTGCTTTTAACACCAGAGGTGCTCTAAAATTATGCAGGTTTTCTAGCCCCGCTATGTCCAGTCAGAAATGTTCTGCGTTTCTTCGCCCCACCCCTTAACGGGCTGCCGCCCCTTAGGGGGTGGAGGGAAGGAACGGATGACATTTAAGACTAGGAATTAGCACTTTTTTCCCCCTAAATGTCATTTTTCTAAGGATACAAGTAAGGAATTCATAATCGTATTTCAAAATGTGTAAGCAGGCGTTTATGGAAAGTAAGAGAATATAAGGGCCAACCACTTCATAGTCTGTTGTGGAAAATATGTTTTTTAGTCTTACGTTTTCATAATCGCTCTAGCGGATAAGTCAGTGAAACTAAGGATTTTGATTATTTACATGTTTTGCTTTTATAGTTACAGAAGGCACCGCGTGAGTGTCTTTATCGGAATGGTATCTGTCTTTAACCTGGGTCTCAAAGTTCTTTGTCACGCAATCTCATTTCGTTAACGGCAGTAAAGGATTCGGTTCTGTTGTCAAATAATGTGAGGTAGGTCAAAACGTTTTCCTTTTTTATAGCTATAACGATTTGGTTCATGAGAAATGAGGCCATTTTAAAGAACAGCTACCGACACTAAAGCCGTTTTGTAGATATATGATAACTGTTACAGATACGGCAAAAGTAAACAAATATGCACGTAAGGGATGTATTGTAGTCAAGAAGTTCATAGCACACTTTCGCACAATAAAATTGCTTTTCCCTTTGAAAATTTACCACTGTGAAATCTAAAATCGTTTTTGGTGTTTAAGCTGGCGGAAAAGGGGCGAATTTGCGTCAGAGTTTCAAGTGCTGTCTAAGTTCTCCCTTGTATTCATCAATACAACTGCAAGTTCAGAGGTCGTAAATCACGCGAGTACCGTAAATGTTTTCCGTTGTAAAAACTCGCAGTTTCAATTGCCCCAGAATTTTATTTCACAGATTGATAGGGGAAACATTGCTCTTTCTCTGGAATACCATTTTTGTAATGAAAGCCATGTACCAGGAAGGGATTTTCGCCGTTGAAAAATGGCTAAATTGATGGTCGCGATAATGCTGATTTAGAGGGTAATTTTGAAAAAATATTAAAAAATCAGATTGAAATCTTTTGAAATTGTAACAACGTTTAGGTAGAAAGGAAGGATCATAAAATTGTTTAATGTAAGAAAAGTTATGGTATTAGTTTCCGTTTCCATTCACGAAGCGAGGGTATCAAGCACATTTTTCGGTGGTTTGAAGGCCTCTCGAAGGTGAAAATTAAAAAAAAATATTATTTTGGAAAATATTGAGTCAAACGAACTGAGTCTTGTATTTTCTAAAATAGTTTCCAAAGGGCTTTGTTGGGACAAAGTTTGGGGGATTTCGATTTTTCCATCTTGCACACCTATCCGTGGTATTTACAGAAAGTCGCTCTTAAGTGCTATCGTGTAATGACGGCCTGAAAATGGCATTTCGTGCCGTGAAGAGCTAAAACGCCAAAGAACCCTAGCTGCGAAAAATGGACCTTGAATTGTTAAAGCAACGTTGGGGAATATTTACTTTAGTTTGATTTTATTTGGACGAATCGACAATTTGTTGTATCAACTAGAAGCAAAGGACACAAAAACAAAGCTGACATCCTTATCACGTTAATCAACCTGGCTGCAACAAATGGATCGCAAAACAACAAAAACTCCTCACGAGGAGAACGAAAGGCAGTTTAAGGCTTCAACTTTTATTGTTTTGCCATACACACAAAATATACATATAAAATTTTAAATAAAGATGAGGCAAGGGAGACCACCTTTAAAATTATGTTATCTAATTAATAATTACAATACTGATATTGGCACTCTTACTCTAAGTACGCACAATTAGTTTGGAACATAGAAAATAATCATTAAATAGGATAAAAATAGAAAAGGCTGAACGCGTAAGTGCAAAAACGAGAAAAGGAAGGTGAGAAACAAGAATGCAAGAATAAACGAAAAAAAAAAAAGCGACAGAAGCGAAAAACTACACACAAGCATTAGGAGAGCTTAAGTAGCTTTAAGTGTGTTATACTAAGAAAAAATGACTTATGTTTAGAATTGAACAAAGCAGTACTAGAGGCATTCTGAATTTCAGAGCTAAGGGAATTAAATATTTTGGGCCCTTGAAAACGAAGTGAAAATTTCCTTACATTTGTCTTGCAGTAGGGCTAACGGAAGGAATTCTTACTTGTAGTGTTATATGAATGTACGTCACAGTTAAGCAAAAACATGTCATTGAAACTGTTAGGAAGAAGGCCGCTTTTATAAAGGTACATAACTTTACCTATTTGAAGTTTGATGATATCTTCAAATTTTAAAATTCGTAAACTTACAAAAATAGGATTGGCATGTGCATCAAACGAACTCCTGGAAACTATTCTGATAACTTACATTCGACCTTTATTCAAAAATTACTAGTCCTAATGGAGTATGGAGGTGACTGTAGGGTGCCACCAAGCAAGACTCAAATAAATAAAATTAAATTAATGACAATAAAATGTCATACAACTAAAAACTGATAAAAAATATTTACAGCATTAATTATTGTACAATATAGCCGAAACTGTCGTATTCTAATAACTTACATTCGACCTTTATTCAAAAATTACTAGTCCTAATGGGGGTGACTGTAGGGTGCCACCAAGCAAGACTCAAATAAATAAAATTAAATTAATGACAATAAAATGTCATACAACTAAAAACTGATAAAAAATATTTACAGCATTAATTATTGTACAATATAGTCGAAACTCTCGTATTCTAATAACTTACCTTCGACCTTTATTCAAAAATTACTAGTCCTAATGGTGGTGACTGTAGGGCGCCACCAAGCAAGACTCAAATAAATAAAATTAAATTAATGACAATAAAATGTCATACAACTAAAAACTGATAAAAAATATTTACAGCATTAATTATTGTACAATATAGTCGAAACTCTCGTTTTCTAATAACTTACCTTCGACCTTTATTCAAAAATTACTAGTCCTAATGGGGGTGACTGTAGGGTGCCACCAAGCACGACTCAAATAAATAAAATTAAATTAATGACAATAAAATGTCATACAACTAAAAACTGATAAAAAATATTTACAGCATTAATTATTGTACAATATAGTCGAAACTCTCGTAAGCGGCCACCTGTGATGAAATTCGAAAAAGTGGTTGTTACTGGAGCTGGTCGCTCACGAGAATGAGCTGTCGTACGCGACCGCAAGGTAAAACAATAGAGGGTTGTCGCTGGCTGTATTAACATTCATTACTGACTAAAATGCTCAAATAAGACTTTTTAGCAGGTATGTCTCCTGCTATAAAGGTAAACTTAATATTTTCTTTTATTGTATCACGAGTTCCCAAGTATTACTTTGATTATTGAACTTTCTTTTCTACACTTGTCCAATTCATCCATGAGCTGGCTCACAAGAGAGGAGCGTTTGATTCTTCTCGCTTGGATCTGAAGATTCACGCATTGCAAAAATGTTCTGCTAAATCTTTGCGATCAACAAATTTATGACACAAGGCCTCATACAAGACCTTGTAAGTTGCTGACCGACCATTTTTTTGTTTCCACCTACGCAACATGCGGAAAGATTTGTCTGCGAGGTCTTTGTAAGCGTCGTCAAATCCTTCTCTTTCTGCTTCGCTGAATTCCAGGCGCCGCGCAAGAGCATCCCATGATCTCCCAAGCTGCAAAGATAACCCTTCCAAATCATCGTCAGTAACTACGCCATCTCTGACTTCTTAAAAAAGAATAAAAACAAAAAAAAGTTAACGTTGTCCTTCGGAAACTAAGAATTGAACGTGATTTCTGTTTTTTCTATGAGCAGCAACCCTTCATGAACGACCCTGTCACTTACGGAAAACGAATCAGCTGCATAAACGAAGGCCTCCCACGTTAGAATAAATCCTAACCGTTACCAGCGCTAACATGCCAATAGCTTACGATATCAAAATTCTAACATGACTCCGAGGCTTTAGGGACAAAATTGCAAATTTTTCACGACTCCATTGTCTTGCAATTCCCAGAAGAGACTTGAGCACAAAGAAAACCAAATCAACTAATCACAGAAAAATGACTAGGAAGCCTCGTAGTCATGTTGGAATTTAAATATATCGAACGTGGGCTATTCTTCGGCTCAGGATGTCCCTACCCCCTATTTTCAAAAAGAATTTCTGAGGATAAACGTAATTCATTTTCCATTAACGATACTTAAGATGGCTCAACTTTGTTGGTATGCATCGCGTAGAATTCCCAGTCTGTTGAGGTCAGAGGTCCACGCACGAGAAAATCCATACAAAAATGGCGCGTTTTTGGTTGGTTTGTAGCAGGAAAATCCCAGTGAAATCCGATAAGCTGGCATTAATCGAAGGTAAGACCTTCAATTTGATGTTTCTCGTTATTCTGGTGGTACCTACTGAGAATTGGTTACGATTAACTCACAATCAGAGTCGAAAAACTTTTAAAGTCACTGCCTTAGTTTTAAGACCACATCATGGCTCGCTGCAGCTCTTGCCTGTCAAAATTCCCGGAAGTGACTGGGCATTCTACGTGAAGACTTTTTCGTGGGCAAAAAATGCAATCAGAGACAAGCATTCGAATGAGTCGTGAAACTGGTTTCAGTGTTAAGAGAAGCAACGCAGAAGCTCTTTCGCCCTTTCTTGAAAACTTTCGCCGCCGTTTTTCCCGACCCGACTGACGGCCCCCAGGTCTCCGAGGATGCAGCTGACAAGGAACCGAATGTCCATCAAAAAATACGTGCTTGTAAGACGCAAGACCATTCATCACGGCGTTCACGTTGTGTAGTGACTTGAAATCTACAGGTGCACTTTTTTCCAAAGAGTGATAAGTCTTTTGGCACGTAAAGTTAGTTAGGCGGTCACAGGCAAAGTTTTAGCAAATTTGTGACATTTAAATTGCATTTTTACATATAGTTTCGTTTTTGCATATTGCAACGGCGTAATTTTCAATATTCAAAACAATTCAAAAATATTCTTTACTACGAAAACTCAAACAACATCAAACAACACATGAAGCAATTAATTACGGATGGATAAAAATCTGGCTAAATCAATCAGAGAATGATTAAATTCTTCGAACGATGGCGTGTATTTGCTCCGAAGATTGAACATTAACAATGTGCCCTACGAGTCCTTAACTACGGACTAAAACAGACAGTGACATAGTGCGTACTACAAAAACGAGACGACCCTAAGGACGATGTTGCTTAAGAACCTTCTAATCGGTTTTATTTTATCCTGTCTCGGTGTGTACCTTTATCCACCTCCACCTCCACCTTCTGCTTTTTTCTTTTTCCTTCTTCTTTTAGAGTTTCGTCTATGAAAGCGAAAAGCAAAGGTGGATTTCACTTTATGCTCATCAGTTTCTAAAACCGTTTAAGTATACCCCCCCGCACTTGAAAGTCACAGATATCAACTAAAACGATGGATGGTAGGCCTTTACTATAGGGATTAACCCTTGGACGTACAAGACGGAAGAGGGGGCGGGGGGGAGTTGCTAACCTCCTAAGGTTTTTCTGATTTTTTTTTCTAAGCCGGTGAAACACCAGCACCTGAAGTTTTCTGTAGCTGTTCGTTTATCCCTCGCGCGCATTTTGAGGCACGTTTAGTGATGGTCAATTAGTATAGTTAGAAGATACGACGTTATAAGTAGCAGGTGGTCAAGCCATTTTTGAGTGAAACTGCATATTTGTTCAACTTTCTTCAGAAATAAAAGTAAAAATGTGGATAAAATGATGCAAAGTAACTATTTATGTGTTATTTAACAGGTTAAGCGCAAAAAATTATTAAATCTCACTGTTTTTACCTGATTTCTAATTCTTGATGAAATCCAAGATAGCGGCCAAGATGGCAAGATAGCGCACGCTCCAGTCATCTTCAGAATTTTTATCCTTCTGTGTTTTCTGTTTTTTTTTTCGGAAAGGTTCTTCTTGTTTTAATTTAGAGTGTGTACACAAATCTTTTTCTTACATTGCTACCATGCTGTGGAACTCCTTACTCGCAAAAATAAGGGAGGTCCAAGGAATCGACGATTTTAAAAAAGCCTTGGGAAATCATATGTTTTAATATATTTAGCTGTATGATTTACGATTTACTGTATGATTATCATAATTATTGTAATTTATTCACCTATAATTCACATATTTTCAGGGTTTCATTTCGAAGTAGTATTACTATTATAGTTTTATTGTTTTTAAATAGTAATAGTTTCAAGTACACGTTTAAACGAGTTTCCGTAAGCTCCTTATTGTTACGTGGGTAAATAAACTATTATTATTGTTGTTGTTATTTATAGAAATAAAAAAAGAGGGTGCGAATACCGCAAAACCGCACAGAATTACGTATAAACACCGCACAGAATAACATAAGAAAACCGCAAACCGCATTGAAATTATCTGAAAATTTCTAAATACCGCAAACCGCTTGGTTTTGTAAAACCGCAACACCGCAACTTAAGAAATTTTTTTACACAAAACCGCATCACCGCAAATTAAACCTTTACGTCCCCCTCTAAAAGGCCAAAAAGGGCTATTAAAAGGTATGTTTCTTTAAGTGTGTTATGAAGGTACCTTCTGTTTTCACCAGTTCCTTTTCCCTTTTCCTTTCCTTTTTCTCTCTTGAAGGTTCTTCTATGACAAGAACAAAAAATAAAAATGATTACGTTTCAAACAGCTATATGACTTTGTGCTTTCTTTGTAAATTGTTAAAATTCTGTTGATTGTTTACCTTCATCTACCGAAGCAAGGACATGTTTGATCAGGATACTAAGCATAATGATGATGCCGCTATACCAGTCCCCTTTTTGTGAACTTTGAACAACCGTTTCCATTGATATCGGCCAATTTTATCGAACAAAGGAAAGTCACGTTCTGTTAGAGGTTATACACATTTACGTGAATGAATATATGAATTTAACAAAGGCTACAAAGTGGAACTCCTATTAAATGCTAATTATTTACTTGATATTATAGCCTTTAACCATTGCAATCTGAATAAATACCTTTGAAACGAAAAATAAAAACTCAAGCCTTCTATCTAAGAAAAATTATCAACTGATCTCTCGCTCAAATGAGTCGACTTACGGGCACGTCTAGTCGTCATTAGCTAACTTTCAAAAAGCTAGTAGACCTAAGCCGGCGATTCGGTCATGTGATACTAGTCAGTAGATGTCCTATTTGGGCATCTGTAAGTTGACTGATTTTGATGTATTGCTCTGTAACAGAACGACAGCATCGGATTCTCATTTGATTATGATTTCTTTGTCTGTGTAAGTGTTCGATTTCTAAGGGTTTACGAGCGCACGCCCGGTGCTCCGCTATAAGAATAAAGTACCTTCAGCTTTCTCCAGTTCTTCATCACTTTTTGTTTTCTCCTTCTCTGGTAAAGAAGGTTCCTCTATGAAAACAACAACAATGGTAATGAAAGACTCGAGTTAATGCTTATTAGTTTTCAAGTTTTAATTTATCAAGAAAGTATTCTCTTTGGTTTATAGCAGTTTGTTAGGTGACAGAACTGAACGGTCGGCTTGGCGAGTGCCTGAATGAAATATAGGCCCCTTCCAAAAAAGCCATATTATTCTCAAATTGAGTACTTCGTGTAAACCTTACTTTTGCATTACCTTTTGTGCATGATTTTCAAGTGCAACACGTCAGTTGTCAAAAATTTGCGTGCAAACGCTGTACATACTATGCAAAGTCATTTGCATATATGAATAAACTGCACTGGAGATATGTAAATCACGACAAGAAAAGGATGGCTCTGGTTCCACCCCGGCAGACCCCCTGGCACTCTACTCTAGGCCGTCGTTGCAGTCGTAAGCCTAGCGACCCACCCTTCCACCGTCGAGGAAGTCGAGTTTTGGAGGGCAAATACCAATCTTATTTGGATATTTGGATAGCAATATTTTCGCTTCCTCAGAAACCATTTCAAAAAAGAGTGGGCGTAGCAGAGACTCGAGGTATGAGTTTGCAAAGAACTAGATTACGATGAAGGTAAACGCCTCAAAACTAATTCACTTGAACGAAGAATGGTAGTCATGTACTGCTGTCACATTTTCTTACTCAGGTATATGTATCAAGTGTAACTGAAACGATCACTTACCTGATTGATCAGTTTTGAAAAGTACGCTGGAACGCCTCAGCCTCTGCAAAGAAATAAATTAAACCAAATGGCGTATATTCTACTCCAAATGTGTTGCAGTACGTTTCTTTCCCAAAATGTAGTTTGTTTATATGTGACTAGCCTATTTCTGACTTCATTCAAACGATTAATTACTTTGCTTGTTTTAATATCATTTTATACATATTTCCACCTTATTTGTCTCAATACATACATCAAATTTCTTATCACGAAAGTCATTTCACAATAAAGTTTTAACTCATAAAAACTGAACATGTATTGTCAAAAATCGGCTTACTCTAATTAATATTCATTGTACTACATTAGTCAGTCAACTTGAGTCGGCGCGAAAGTATCGAAACTACGAGCAACGTTATCTGAATTACATCACTTGAGAAACTTTAACGATGTCGTTGACGCATATGTATTCCGTATCAAGCTTAAGGGTCACCACTGTACGTTACTTACCTTAGAAATGTGTTCAATAGCCTCTATCCAAGGCTTGAGTGGTTTTTTGTTTAGCATTTGACCAGGCTTACAGCAAAGACCTCTTCCGTCCAAGGGTATGTAGTGACCACAGTCATGGTGCCTACATGACCTTTCCTCGTGCCTAGCGCAGGGCTCTGTCTCTGTTCCTACGCAGACTGTGCATCGAGCACACAACTCCACAGACATTGATTCCAGCCAATGACACTCCCTTTGAAGCTTTCCCATGAACTTATCTAACTGGCTACAAATGAATGAAATTTAAGCCCCATTAAAGTTTTGGCGAAAAAGTCAGAAGAAGACGTTAAGCTAAAAAAAAGAAGCTCTACATTGTACTTATAATCTAAAGCTTTGTAAGTAGACTATGGCAACCTGAGACGATAAATTGTGATAAGATTTCCGCACAGCTCCATACATTTATTATGCGTGCGTCGGTAAGTTAATATGGATAGAGTCGAAGGTAGTGCACGAAGGCACTGAGTACACTTTTCGGGCTATACGAAAATTTTACCGAAAAACCACAAACACAAATTCAAAACAGTAATATCGCTCATGTTATACATCCGTTACCGGTTTGCCTGCCTAGCAGGTCAACGACGGATGTGTATCAAACAAGAGAAGTAACAGTAGTAACAGTAAGAAACAATATTCGACTTTTAAAGATGTGTGTAGAAAGAAAGAAGTACTTTTACCTTAAAACATATTCATAATGCTCTTGGGTAAGACTGACGTCAGCTTTTCTGAAACCCAGCTTAATAACACTCTTGTAGCACTCCATTTGAAATAGATGGTTGTTGTTCTTGTCAAGAACAAATTCGGCTTTATTTGATGTCAGCTCGTACATATTTGTATATTGCGGATTTTTTACAAACAGCACAATGAGACGGGGGAAAAGTCCACTTGCAACATACGCAGTTTGAAAGGTGAGGTATATAGGTACTGGTGATCCAGTCTCACTTTCTTTGTCTTGATATTTCATAGCTGGCCGCAGCATACAAGGGACGAGGATTTGTGATTCACCTTTTTCTTGACGGCAGTGGCAGATGAGGTTGAACTTATCCATTAAAGAAATCAAACAGTCTTTGATTGAATTCACACTTTCATCTTCGCAGGTGTAATCAATCAACCGCTTGGAAAGAATCCCTTTTTCTGCCAACTCCTTTCGGTCTGTTTCTATAGACCATGGCTCGTTCTCTTGTGGATTCACGTTGATAATCTTGCAGAATATGTTAATTAACCACTGGGGATCCAAGATGACCAGACCACCTTTCTCTTCATCATTTTCAAGTTCATGGTAGACAATTGTCCCGCGGCTATGCAAAAAATGAACAAGTTCATCAAAGTCATCTTCCTTTTCGAAAAAGCAGTAGGGTAAAACAATATTTTCACGAAAAGATTCCTTAAAGAGGAACTTTTGTCTTTGCCATTTCGGTTGAATGATTTCCTTCTCAACACGATGCCACTGCAAAGGGATCGGTCTCTTGGTGTGAGGCATTTTATCGGCTACTTCGAGAATCTTTTCCCGAAAATTTTCGATTTCTTCCTGGTCAACTGATTTGCCGGCTTTTGTGTTATCGATCGATAAACGATGTCTGATGTGTGATAAATAACTGTGTTTACAAAACACACGTGAACATTTCTGTTTCACTAATTCCATTTCTTTAATTGGATCGTCTACACAGTCAGCATGAGTACCGACAAGTATGACTGGGGGATACGAAATACCCTCTTTCTCTTTCTGATTACCCTTCTTTAAAGAGTGAATCAAATCCATCCACCGTAACAGGTGATCCAAACTGGTGTCTTCATCATCGCGGGCTGTTACAAGGTGCTCTTTGTGACCCACATTCACTCGACATACTGCTTTTTCACTGAGCTTCTTTGTAAGATCAAAAACAAGAAGGTAAATGTCCTCTGTTGACATAAAGATTGGATGTATAGAACGGTAAATGTCCTGTCCTGCAAAGTCCCAAATTACAGGCCAAATTTTTTCATCAGGATGAAATTCATTTTTTGCTAGGTTTTCCTCCAAAAGCAAGGCAACTTCATCTGGCATTAATTCCTCTTCCGGAACTTGAAATGGATCTTGGTGCCCTGTAAGAAGAAAGACAGAATAAGGCTGAAGATGATTCACTTGCAAAAGAACCTGACAACGATTTTCGATGAAACTTGGTACACCCTGTTGTCAAAGTCAAGAAGACGATAAAAACGTAAGAAAAAGTAGGGGTTACGGCGCACGTTTTCACGGTGCAATGCTACTTATTATAAAGCACCTTTAAATGAATAACCGCACGCAGCTCAAAACTACTGACTCTGTCGGTAGGGCGCGATCGCAGGTGTCCCAACTGAAATGCATTAAGACAAAAACGATACGATAAGCAAGCCGTGAATCGGTAATCTTTATATACAGTATATAACGCGTTCTACGTACAAACATGTTAAACTTTTTTTTTTTTTTGTGAGAGTCGAATTCACTTTTCGAAAGGAAATGAAGGGGTTAACCTAAAGATGACAATAGTGTTAACTTACGATTTCTTTGATCGCTTCTCTTCTGACTCTCTCTTGGAACTTTTTCTTCTTGGTCGACTGGAAAGTTTTATTCATCAGTTGTTGACAGAATAGGGAGCGGAAATAGAAAGAAAAAGAATATGAGAAGAAGTGAAGTCCATCTTTGGGCTCCAAAAGTCAGAAAACCAGATGTTACCCTACCACATTGTACTCTCTACACCTTCTAATTATTTTTAGCTCCCTGGGAAAAACCCTTCCCAGGAAACAATTTAAATTACATACAATGGAAACGTAACTACGAAGAAAAATTGATGCAAAGACAAAATCAGATCAGGAGAAGGGCTTCTGTACGGTGAAAGGCGAACTAAATGAGTTCAGTTATCTCAAAGCGTTTTGTCTGCGAGCAAGTCCTTGGGTTTTAACGGGTTGGTGTGCAGTATGACGGGTTTGATACCACCACCGCACAGGTTTTCTTTGATTTTCCAATATTATTTCATTGCATTACGTATAATGTGCATGCGACATTCCCGAAAGGTAATATGGGATATGATCAATTACTTTTGCTACTTTCCTTTGGCACTCACTAACATAAGTCCCTCCCGTGATAGACTTCGAGCAGTCTCTCTTTTTTCCGTAGTCCGTCGAGCAAAACGCGAGACACGCAAATGGCCACGCGCGTGACTGATGGCGCGAGACGGGAGAGGCACGCCGCCCTCGTTTCGCGCGTCTCGCGGCTTCGCCGCTTCCGCGCGCGTGCATTGCTCTCACCAAGTCTGAAGAAAAAGAGAGGCTGCTCGCAGTCTACTCCCGTGACATTCTTTCAAATTTCTCTTCTTTGAAGAACAGTTAACTCATAACCACCCACAATACCTTTCGGGATTGTCGCGTAGCTGTATGTGGACAAAAATTGGCGACTAAAGGTTGTTTAGTTTACGACCCGACATCACAAGAAGCAAAGAGTCCGCTGTCGGTATCTTGGCCGCCGTTTAAGCCTGTGTGAGAAGCCAGGGGCCGGCAAGGGGGGCCGTTTCCTGAAAGTCCCGATAACTAACAGGCCCGAAAAGCTGTATGTTATCGTTTACATTACAGAGCGAAGTTTCGATAGGTTTGTAGGTAATATCAGTAAACAAAACAAAGTGTACTGCTGGTCCCTAATCTAGGAACCTCGCTTTTGTCGTTTAGATTTTGATCTGATCATTGATTTCGGGCCAGTAAAGGTAACCAGTTATTCTCCATGAGTTCTCAAGCTCAAGTACAGTATGTTGCCCAGTATCCGGACACTTCAGTTTAAGATTGCAATAACTTTGCTTTGTTAATCGCAAGAGCTCTGAAATTTGGCCCAGAGAAAATCTATCTAGTCCTTAATATGACGAAAGACAGTTTAACTTTTTTGCCTTTGTTTCCGTCGCGAAATTGATATTTTTGCAGAGCTCCTATGTTGCCCAGTATCCGGACAGCTGGCCCAGTATCCGGACGCAACAATAACAACGTAATACAATTCTTACTTCCTTGTCTAGGAACTTTTTCACTGATTTAAGGAAGGCATCCGTGGACATGCCGAAGCCGCAGTTTGCAAGCTCAAATAGCCAATCTGCAAACGACTTTCTTTCTTCTTTTTTTATTTAAAAAAAGAGCTTGGGGAAGGGACCTCAACCGGACGGTCAAAGGTCACTCTCCTATTTAGTCTGACCTGCATTGTTGATTTCTTCATGCTCAGTCCCCACAAAAAGCCTGCTTTTCTAGCACTAATTCCTCCTTCTTTCACATCTCTCAATCCCTTTGTGACATTTTTCAGACCGTTGCAACCCCATTCTAGCAGTCACAACCGGGGAAAGTATGAGAATTCCAGGTTCAACTCAGACGCTTTCAGTTATATATAGAAAATGCAGTCACGCGAAACAAGCCGTGCACAGGAAATCGAGTCGCCTCTCAATGAGTGAAGAAAATTTCCATACGGAGTTGAGTAGAATTACATTTTACGACTATATCATATATCCTAAGCTTTAATTATAGTTACTGATATGAAATAAATCTTATCCAGATAATGTACACAGCTAATTCATCGATTCTGTACAGCAAAGAAAAAACTGTCCGGATACTGGGCACATGACATCAAAACTTAGTGAATGTTTCTGGCCTCCGTTATTCCAAACAAATCGAATTTCAAGAAGAATTAATAAATTTTCTGAAAACCTGACTTCCTTAAGAATCTTCACTTTAAAAATAAAACAGATTCTTTGAAAATATCACACACTACCCTCCCTTTTCTTAGCAGCACTAATTTTACTGCGCAGTAAACGGCGTAAATATTAGCCATGAAAAGTTTACTCACCTGAACAGAACGGCGTTTTCTGCGACTGTTTCGCAAGCTCTCAAATCGCCAAAACTTTCATCTTAAAGCTGAAATGTTCAGCTTTCATTCGAAATACTTCGTTTACCGAGAAATGAAAAGGGCGCCTCAAAAATTGAGTTTTTGTTTCAAGTGTCCGGATACTGGTACCGTCCGGATACTGGGCAACATACTGTAGCCCTTTGACAAGTGGATACAGCAGCCGTCCGGTGTCTGGGAGGTCATAGGTTCGAATCCTGTCGGGGACTCAGATTTTTTCTTTATCTAACGCTCGTGACATGCTGATCATTTCATTTTCACAGTTATTTATATTTACCGGGGCCTCAAGAAAAGGTCCCCAGCTTCTCAAAAATTCCCTTTATTTTACGACCAAGTAAAGATCGATAGTTTAAATAGAAACTTTTAAACCAGGCCCCAGTTGTTCAAACGTTGGATAGCGCTATCCACCGGATAAATCACTATCCAGTGGAAAGCGTAATTGGTTTCCCTAATACTTATCCGCTGGATAGTGATTTATCCGGTGGATAACGCTATCCAACGTTTGAACAACTGGGGCCAGCAGACTAGTTTGTCTACCTACATAACCGAAACGTTCTCAAGTTTTCACAGAAACTACAGTTTCAAGCGTCTCAGCAACAGTTAAAGGCTGACCGTGGGTTTATTGCACTAACCATCTTCAATACACAACTGAACTGTTTCACTGCTAATCGAGGTTTCTGTTGGTTGTTTCGTTGCTGGCTGCTTCGAAAGTGTGCTTAATAAATTCTCAGCGGTCTTTGCAGCAACCTTATGATCATATACTGTAATTTGTTCAACAGAAGCTGGATTTCTCCACGCGCCTGTTCCAGCATTCATGACAGCAGGGATCATTTGCACTCCGTCGGTACTGCATTCGGCTTCATCAAAAGGTTCACCTCTTAAAGCTTTACCAAGACTCGTCTTACCCACACGGTCCTGGCCAACAAGCAAAATTTTAACACGCTTATCATACGTGCTACCACCAGTTTCAAGAGCTCTGTGAAAAGCGGCAACTGCCTTTTCTCCTCTAGCTTGCACAGAGGCTGGAATTAAATCTGAAAGTATAACACAAGAAGAATCAGTGTACCAAATTAAAATTGATCATGGTTTCAAATTGAGGTAAGGCATGTTAGTTTCTAAACGCAATCACAAGTTAAGGTGTTTCGATACAGTTTTTCGGAGACCACACCAATGTTTTCAAATCGCCTTAACAAAGTGAAGTTTGTCAACTTGTAGTTTTGAGTAACATCGCTATCACTATGACAACAATAAACAAAAAACTTCGAAATCGATAAAACCGAATTTTGCACGATCTACACTTACCACTGAAAAGTTAAATGGAACTTAAAGTTTGGTGTTTACCAAATAACCTCCGCGTGAGAAGAAAAAAAACTGTATGTCTGACTGCAAATAGAAAGAAACCTTATATTTTCAACAGCCTTGATATATTGTTTAAAAGAAAGTTCTAAATAATTCAAATTAATCTTGATTACCGGCAGAATGCTTCTCAATATCATATTTCGCTTCTTGGAAATTTTGGTGTATTTTCTTTTCGCAATCCTAAAATCTAACCTGTTTTCTCACTACGTGTCTAAGTGCAAGGTTATGTCTAAATTTCAATCTATCTGCGTTTAGCGGAAAAACTTCTCTAATTTCGGTTTTAATATCAGGAGACTTGGTAAAGTATTTAGGCAATGGTGTTAGGTTTTTCCATTCTCTTGGTGCTCGTTTCTGGAAGGCGATCTACGTTCATGTTTTACTTTATTTTTTGTTCAAGTTTGTACGTGACATATATTTCCGATTTGTTGATTCAGAGTTTATTCTCGTTTTTTACTTTAACGACCAGGGACCATCTGTGCTCGTATGAGAGACCACCTGTGCCCAATTCATTTTAGCGGATTTTTTTGCCCGTGTTCAGGGCGGCTTTAATTTTGCTTTCGAGAGTGAGTCCTGCATATTTCTTTTCTTCTTTTTAGCAAAATTTTCTTGTATGTGTGTGTCAGTATTTTTTCTTTGCAGATGTTTTCAAGTCCGACATTTGGACTGAGTTTTTTGGTTCTATTCCTGTCCATCTCCTGCCACTGGCCAGCGTGGTGAGACTGTGCGTGCTTACCTTGGAGGTTTCACGAGATGGAGAAGATGGGCTTCGTTCAACCATTTTTGCCACCTGCCGGTCAACACTTTCCAGTTCGCGGTTTACTTGCATTGTCGTCTTAATGTAGCCAACTGTCCTTCTCCGCTACTCAATGAGTTGTTTAGCATTGATTGGGCGCAGAATCTGGCCTCCTTACCGACGATATCTGATCACTCTCTGGTTTCCTCTATGATTAGTGCGGCTCAGAGAATTTTGGGGAGGCCGCGAGACAAAAAAGATCCTTTCAGCCCGGATATGCTGAAAGCTCTCGCCTTCCCTAACAGATTTGAGAACAGTAGCAACATTCCGGCTGTTTTGTTGTAACGCAGATTTTTGGCCGGTTCGTAGGCTAGGTTTGTCTTGAAATTTCAAGGTGTTACAGTGAGTCAATCTAAATGAAGTTTCAGACATCATTGTATGCATCATGAAGATTATGTGATGAGTCGGTGATAAGGGTTAAAAAGAATTCCGTCGAGCCGTTCTAGAGATATACAGAAAAACGCTAAAAGTCAAAAAAAAAAAAAAAACAGGAATAAAGCTGCACTTACACAGGTGGTGCATCAGAAAACAGATTAGTTTTCAAGATCGCAAGAAAGAAAATACAGTCAACCAAATTCTAACTTAGGTTTTGGAACTCTGGTTTTCTGTTTAATGACTTAAACTATGCTGCTTCAGGAAGATGTTCAAGAATGTAAAAAGGAAAAGATCAACCAGATACTGCACAAAAGTGGTTGCAATCATTAAAGGGTCTAAGACGAAAAATGTTTATTGTGTTAACTGAAATAACATATTACTACAAGTTAGACCTTTGGAAAAAATTACGTTTCGAGCAAAATGTGATTTTTTTCAGGAATTTTTAAACATTACATTTCTTTTGCACACCTGTTCCGCTGAGCACTACATTTTGTAAACTGACAGCTCATGTTTGCCATCATTAGACATAAATAATCTAGGATTTGAAAAAGAGCATTTTATTCATGTAATTCCTTTCTTAGGGTCGCCAGTGTTGTTGCATCTAATCATGGCATGTTTTACCTTTTAACAGCTGTTTCAAATATTTCTAGAACTCCACACTTGTTTACTTGTATCTAATGTAACTCGTTCCTTAATCAACGTCACAGCTTCTTTGTTTCCGAGAGGCTTTCGAGAGAAGACCAAGGCAAACGCAGTGTTTCGCAGAGGTTCTGGTAGTAATGTGTGCTTTCAATTACGAAAATAAACGTTTTTAGGTTATGGGCTCTAACATGTGTGGTCGTTAATAAGAGCTTTTCATTACAAACCTCAAGTAACAGTTCAAATGGGGTTTCACAGTTTAGGCATTTTGAGAAGTAAGCCTGCATGTATTCACACAACTTGGCAGGTTCTCCAGAACTCAAATGTTAGCTTTAGACAACTACACATGTCTATTATAAGATGCCTCACTAATCAAATAAAAAAAATCCTCTTGAATCATACGACTTTTTTAAAATTTTTATTTCTCTTACTTATACCTGTAATGTTGAAAAGAACAATGAGCTTTTTTTTTAATTAATCAACTTAAAAAAATTTGAAGTCACTATATCCCTCCCAAAAATACTTGACCAGCTTTCACCGTAAGCATTTCAGTTCACACTATAACACTGTGATGTTACAACGTATCTCATTTGAAGCTTGGATTATTTTTTCAAGTAATTTTTGACATCTCTCTTACCTTGTCCTCCTTCAATAGGATTCACTCTCATCTGCTGATGCAGTCTTCGTTGACGTCTTTCCTCTAGCTCTTTTTGAATTTTATAGATTTTCTCAGCTAACAGATGATAATATTCCTCCTGTGTAATTTATGAGCAAAGTGTTTAGCTTCTTGTCTACATGTACATCTAATGATCTACCTACACTAATTTACATGAATGAAACAATTAACACCAATTTGCTCAAACTGCTTTGAATGAAAATAACTTTTTTAGACTTTACAACTCTAGCATGGTCTTTAACACGATCGCTTTGATTGCTGAAAACATCTAGTGGTCTGAGCAATAAAACTGTAGTAATTATGTGGACCCAGCTTTAAGACAGCATAGAATTCCAGGGCTGTGCTCTAGCAGAGCCCGGTGGCCCCTGGCGCCTAACTTTTGCTCTTGGGTGACTAAAAAATCTTACCTTTTCCATACAAATCATATGCTGGGCTTCTTAGATTTTACAGGTTCTGAGCTCAGGGCTCCCTTTAATTTACCTTAGAGAACAGCCTTGAAGGGTCTTGAAGTCTATCCCAGTGTTTGTTACCAAAGCGATCATCAGCGAAATGTTTGCAAATGATCACTGAACTTTCTTTTCAGTGATCTTATGTTCACAGCAATCAAAAGGGAACAAATATCTTCAATGTATGCATACAGACCAGCAACTGGCCCGAGCAATGGAAAAGGGGTACAATGTATATGGGTGACTCTTCACAAGAAGGATAACCACAGTGATATTAAAAACTATAGACCTATTACGATTCTTGCCGCCGTCGACAAAGTTTTTGAACAGTTGCTTAGCAACCAAGTAACGCAATTCATGGAGCCTTATTTGAAGCTATTGAGCAATTGTCTAACAGCTTACCGAAAACAGAACAGTTGCGAGACGACTTTGATGAAGCTTATGGAGGATTGGAAAGAAGCATTGAATAGTAGTAATGTCGTAGGGATCTTATCAACAGATCTATCCAAAGCTTTTGACTCGCTTCATCCACCCCTATTATTGACAAAACTAAAGGCATATGGTTTTGAAGATTGTGCAATTGGTCTTATGAGGTCATATTTCTCCGAAAGATGGAACAGAGTTAGGATAGGAACTGATACCATGAGTGACTGGCGGAAAACCGAAAGGGGATGACCTCAAGGGTCTAACTTTGGTCCTTTAATGTGGAATATTTTCCCAAACGACCTTATGTATAACATACAAACTGATAAGTGCAGTGTAATGATGTATGCAGATGATCATCAAGCTTACATACTTTCGGGGAAAGAATCGAAGACGTTGAGAGTATTTTGAACTATGGGGGAAAGGAAATTTCAAACTGGTATAAGGACAATCTACTCATGTGTAATCATGAAAAATTTCAGTCGATGAGTCTCGGATCGAAGCATAAAAATAAACAGATGAAAACTGATGTTATGAACAATGATATTGAGAGTCACTCTGAAATGAATAATGACCCTCACTGGTAACTGCTCGTAAACTTAAAATCATCCGTATAACCTCTCCATACATTTTTGCGTAGATCCTTCCAACCTCAAAACTACTCCGAATCTTTGTACAATTGTTGTAGTCGGTTTGAATAGATTTTCATTTCTTTCATAATGCCTCAAATTGCATACTGTCATACAGTGTGGCATATCTGTCGGGCGTAGCAGAAAGATGGAGCGAGTACAAGAGCGAGCGTTAAGAGCCGTCTACGATTGCCCTATTAATTCAACTTACCCTACTATTTGCCGTCTCAAACATATCCCCTTCTACTTTGCGCGCATATGAAACAAGATTACCCATGCGCTGATGTCTCAGGGCAGCTGGATCGTGCACCGGAGTTGGGAAGATTGCTGTCACACTACAGCAATAAAAACAAATTTCGTGTTACACTTACTGATAATTATAATTAGTGCTTGTTGCAACAATAGACATAGTGCGAGCAAATAAAAGAATAGGCTTGCCCAGAATTACGGCTTTTGACTTTAATTTACTCATCCAGGATTAAAATGATAAT